TGTGCTCTTCCGATCTAAAATTGTTTAATCCTAGTTCCAACCAGAATGACAAGCTTACAGAACAATAATCTTTTTGATTTTTTCGTTTCAGATATCCTCAAGCGGCGAAATCACCGGGGCCAGTCACCTACCTTTTTTTTTGAGGCGCTTACTTGAGTACTATAAAACTATAACAAAAAATAAAAAAAAAAATTTTTTTTTGGTACACTTTTAGATACAATTAATAATATATTAAATCATCAAACCGATTGAATTTTTTTTTCCCCTAAAAAAAATTTCTGAAAAAAGTATAAAAAACCGTGCAAGTTACCAGACTACTACCTTAATAAAATCAGACGACATGTTTAAATAGTTAAAACGGTCACGAACGTTTTTGCGGAAGTCATATATCACATTTATATTGTTCTTGCATCCATACGCTTACAAGTCATAATCTCCACCATCTGGCTTTAATCAATTGCGACAGTCTACATGACAAGGATATCTGGCCATGACAAAGAATATCTGGCCTCCAAATATGGTTTAATTTCCAATAGACTGATATTAAAGCTTATATCTATAGTAGGTATCATTTATAGTTCTGTCCAATGAACAAATAGCAAAAAGTCAACAATGTTTAAGACAAATAAATTAGAAATATAATGTGCAATCGAGAATTACTTACATAGCTGTCTGTTAAACCATATCTATCATTAGTCAGAAGTGTCAGAACTTTACTGTAACGACGCTCACGCTATACTGACTTTAATTTGACTATGACAGAACATCAAACCATCAATTCTCTATATAGAAATTTTTATAGTTGTTTATGATTGAAACTCATTGGTAGTTATTCTATATAACAAATCCGTATACGAAGCATCCAGAAGTTCCGTGTCACTATTTAAATTGATCCCATTTTTTTGATATTTGATATGGATCATTTCTCACATTAAACGCTTAAAATAATTTGGCTCAGAGTCTAATATGATTGTTTGGTTCCAATCAAATGTGTGATTATAATCCAACATATGATTGGTATGGTACAACCGAATGTTTAGATGTCTGTCTGTATGTTCCTTTTATGTTCATTAATTCGTGTTTTAAGTTTTCTTTTAGTCTGACCTACATATAATCCATCACAGCCATTACAATTTATTTTATATACAACATTATTATTCTGTTCAACGGAATCTTTGTCTTTGTGTCGTTTTATAAATCCAGATAACCTATTTAAACATTTGTATCTGATCATAAATTCATTTTTATTAAATGCTTCAGCAACGGTTTTTGAGACATGCTTAATATACGGGAAAGCTACAATCTTCCTTCCATTTGTTTGTGATAAACTTTGACGGACATTAAATAATTGTTTCAATCTTTTATTTGTCACATTAAAAATCAATTCCAGTGGATATCCATTATTTAGTAAAATAGTAACAATAAATTCTAAATTTTTTTGGTGGAATATAGGATGTGACAATAAAATCGCCCTATCAAACTGTAAACCGTACCTATCTTGTGTGCACATCGGGTGATCAGAAAAAAATGACAAGTATCTGTCCGAGAAGCTTTTTTTATGATACCAATCTAAAGTCAACATGTTGTCCATTACTGTAATCGATATATCTAAAAAACTGATTTGTCGATCTTCCTCTATTTCATGTATGAATTGCAATCTATTATGATAATTATTGAATTTGTTAAGTATCATGTTTATTGTATCTCTTGAAGCAGCTAACAAGATATCATCCACATATCGAAAATAGAATGGTAACTCTATTCTCCTCCAACATTCTTATTTCAAGATCTTGCATTATTATATATCAGCTGCCGCAGGGGACAGCGAGCATCCCATCGGCATACCAAAGGTCTGTTTATAGATTATATTATCAAGAGTAAAGTATGTCAATGTTAAGACAAATTTGATCGCAATTAAAAATTCATTCATTGGTATTTTTGTATTAGGTTCTATATGATCCCATCTTTTTGATATTACTTCCAATACGAGATCTCGCGGAACATTGGTGAAGAGTGAAGTGACATCTAGACAGGGTTTGGTAGTGCCTATAGTTAAAAAGATAAAAGTTAAGTTAAAAAGTTAAAAAGGTAAATAATTTTAACTTAACTTAGTTATATTTTAGGCTCTTAACTTTTAACTTAATTTAGTTACATTTTATCGGATAACTATTAACTTTTAATCTAACTTTCTTGAAGTTACATTTTTAGCGCTTCTTGTAAACACAAAATAAAATACATGTCTAAGTTAGTGTTTTCAAACTCAAATTTGAGAACACACATCAAGGCAATTGTAATAATATAATAAATATATAGTCTGGCCGCGGGAAGGAATCACTGTTTGCGGATCTTCTGTGCATTAAATCACGTTAGAAATCCTTCGAAATCGGTTCTCTATCCGCAGCTCGACAGAAATAAGTATAACAAATATATACTTTATTTAGAAACTTGATTTAAAAACCCTAAAATTATAAAATGAAAAAATTTGCCTTTAACTTTTCAATTACTTTTTTCTATTAACTTAACTTTTAACTCAATTAATTTTATTATGGACTAACTTGTATCTTAACTAAGTTAAATTTTTAGACTGTTAACTTTAACTTACAAGGGAACACACGGAAGTGTCCCCCTCCGATTTCAATAAGCTTTGGATATGTTAAACTACAGACAAAAATAAGATACTACAATTTTTGCATTCGTGCTGAGTCGCACATTAAGGAGGTGAAACATCCCTTAGAAAA